AAAAAAAACTATCACATCTTGCGTGGCCTGTTACATATCTCTTTGTAAAGCTTTGAGCGAAATTAAGACGTAAAATCCATTCTATATTAAACAATTTTAAGCATTATGGATAAACTACTGTTACACTACAAAATAGGTGCTTTTTTTTCTCTTTTAAAAGATGATGATAGAGTTTTTTCTTCTCTACAAGGAAATCTAACTGCCACCATTTGGTCAATTGATTCTTGACGTATACAAAGGAACTTTCATATATATATATTTACTAGTTGTCCCACGCTGTGCAGCGGACTCAAATTTAATCTATATTGGAGGTTAAATTAGTTGTACAAGAAAATTATCATTTTAATTTATCGATTTTTTTTTAACTCTATTACTAAAACATTACACCAAAGAACAAAGAACAAATAAGAAAAGAGGTTAGCGTTTGAAATGTTTTGTTCATCAAATATAAGAGTACAAAAGAGACAAAGCCTTTTTTAGGTCTTTTTAAGAACAATCCAATGTGGACATCCTTAAAAACTCCAATACTCCAGTAGAAATGTTACCTTTCTTCCACCTTAATCTTTTTAAGAATCTCAAGCATAACTAACAAATGTAACCAAGCAATTTATTTGTAGAGAATAAAGTTTTCCTAAGCAACAAAATCAAACTCCTTCCATTGTCAAGTAATTCAAGTACTAAATAGCTCCATGGGTAGATGTAAGACCACTTAAAATCTCGAAGCTAGAATGAGAACCCCCGTTGCTAGACATGGCCAAATGGCGGGCCGGTTCAGGGCCCGGCCCGGCCCGGCGGGCCGAAGGGTTGGGTTTTGTCGACCCTGAACCGGCACACCCTAAACCTGTGCCGGGCCCATGACCCGGCGGGCTGGGCCGGGTCCGACCCAGGTCTGACCCAGAAAAATTTAAAAAAAAAAGAAAAAAAATAGAAAAATTCAAAAACAATTGATTTTTCCCGTGCCGAACCGGCCCAGCCCGCCGAGTCGGTGTCGAAAAAAAGATGATCCTGAACCGGCCCGGTTGAAAATCCGAGTCGGGCCCAGACCCGTAGTCAACGGGTTTGACCGGTCCGGACCCGTGCCGGGTCGGCGGACTGATTGACCCGTGGCCATGTCTAAGCAGATGTCTAAAGCGATCCCGACGATGACGAAGCTAATCAAGTCTAACCTGTCTAGGTTGATTAGGCGGTCTAGGTGGCAAGTTAGCCGCCTTAGTGCTCGTACAATTTTTTTTTTTTTGGTATGATTTAATTTATTTTTAAAATATGATATAAACCAATTTAGATATTTATAAATAAAATGTACAATACTTTTATAAAATATAAAAATAATTGTGTGAAATTAATAAAAATAATTATAAGTATATTATTCGTTTAAAATTATTGTATTTAACTCTACTAGTTAACATATTTTATAAAATATAGTTTGTTACTAATTATGGATGATTTTACATATTGTTCCACCCTAATTAATCCCCATTTAAGCTGTTTAGGCGCTATCCTTTTACAACTTGGTTGTGAATTGTGATGAATCATAATTCACTCTTAAATCTCTAATTTGATTGCCAAACAAGAGTCATAGCTAACTGAATTTATAGTACAAAACTATTGAATTTTGTGTGATAAACTAATGGCAGTTTGTTACGAATAAATAAAAATATTAGTACCAATACATCATCCTTACAGATATATGGATGTTATGTTACTATTTTATTTTTTCAGTTATCTTGTTATGTATAAACAAGATAATTTAATGTGGTCCATATATTCATATTTATAAAAAGTATAAATACTATTAATTATTAATTCTATGATGGAGAGAATTAATAAGTAGAGATTTTACCTTTCTATCATAAGGTATCATATACCAATAGGTACCATATACCAAAAGGTACTTTTTTGCCAAATGGTACCATCGGTTTTAAAAGGTCTCTAGGTTCATCACCTTGTAACTACTGAATCTAACACCATCTAAAGAGCAAGTGAAAGAGCCTAGAAGACCCTAACCGAATAAAGTGAACGTGCCGAAGCCATCACCGTTGTCTTCTACAAGTTCTTCAAATAACTCAAACATACACAAGCAATGACTGGAAGCATGTAATCTCGATAATTCCGTTGCACCGATATATGATTAAAGCGGATAAATATTCTTACATGTTAATTTAAAAAAATATATCTATAAAGTAATAAAATAATAAATAAATAAATATAGAATCTTTTATTTAAATTTTACTATTCATACACATATAGCCGTGCATAATGAATTTTTGTACTTATGTCATGTAATAAGATTAATAGGTACATTTACTTAATTAATAAATGATAATAATATTACTTAATTAATTTTGATTGATAAAATAATAATATTAAAATATGGAATCCATGTAAGCTCTTGTTGAATTATTTATTTATTTAAAAATAAACAAAAATAACTGGACAAAAATAAAAAAAAAAAGCGGGTGGAAATAAATCAAACACACGTATTCCGAAAATACGTTTTTAATTATAAAACGTATTTCGAACATACGTTTTACATTATAAACTGTATTCCTGAAATACGGTTTCAGTTAATATGATTATGTAACGTAATTAAGATAATTACCTTGCTTAAAAACGTATACCGCGAATACGTTTTTATTTTTAAAATATTAATACGAATTTTTGAAATACGTTTTGTAATTAAAATTAATTTTATAATTATTTTCGAATTATAAAACGTATTTTCACAATACGTGTTCTAAATGAAATGAATTTTTAGAATTTTGAAAATACAATTTTGTTGGACAAAATAATTTAAAAAATAAAACGTATTTCCGAAATACGTTTTTTGTACAATTCTTCCCCCAAATTCAATTTTGCCCCAATTCAATTTTGCCCTAAATTGATTCATATATAAACGTATTCTCAAAATACGTTTTATAAACAAAAAAATATAAAACGTATTCCCAGAATCCGTTTTAAGCTGCAGAAAAAACAAAATTTTTGAATCCATTTGAAGAAACCAACCTGTTCAACCAACATACACATATCAATCAACCCAACATACACATATCAATCAACCCAACATATAAAAGAAGATCAAAAACAATAATTTATAGAAGAAACACTATATACAAAAAGATCAAAATACGGTTTACACACGAATATGTCCATAAATTTCAATACATAAAACACAAACTAACTATGAAGATGAAGGAATGAATGGTTGCCTAGGTTTGCGCAGTCGAGCCCCCCTCCGGAGCTCTGCGAGAGGCGTGTCATCATCAAAATCATTCTCATTCTCTTCTCCTTCGTCCTCTTCAACTGAGTAATGCATTTAGTAAAAAAAATCACAAACTCGACTTTAGGAAAAAATAAAAAATAAAAAAAGACCAAAAAATAATATTTTGTTAAGTAAATAAATCTTACATTCTTCAAGGCCGAGGTTCTGAGATTGGAGGTGCTGGGGGGAGGGTGGATTGGTTGGGCGTTGTTCATTTTCGCGGTCACGGGGCCGAGGTCTTCTACCCCCACCAATGTTGGCAGCGGGTCGATGCCTCGCGGTGTGGGACTGTGTCCTCTGGGATGGAATGTAGTCGTCCTGGGATAGAACTTGACTTGACGACGCCCCTTGTGTAAGACCTCGGCCTCCAACAGTCAGGGAAGTGTATGCAAAGTTGAAGGACTGTTGGAATGCGGCTTGTGCCTCTGGAGGGAATGTAGGCATTAAGTGTTGAATACTCGTTAAGGAGTTATAAACCCCCTCCAGGCCAGAAGTCTGAAAATAAAATTCAAAGTAATTAGTATGAAACAACATAAAAAAAAAAAAAAATAATAATAATAAAACCACAAATTATTAT